TCTTTGCCAAGAAAATAGCCATTGCTTGCTGTATCTAGAAGGATTCTTATGGTTAGGAGAACACCTCTATAGAGTGTGTATAGCAGCATAACTTGAAGGTATATCAGCAGCACTAATAGGTCTCAATGGTCTTTGAACCCAAGCTCCTTGTAAACCATGTGGACCTTGCTGTCCTTGTAAGCCTTGGATCTCTTGAAGACCTTGTGGACCTTGCAAACCAAAACCAGCAGCATATTGATGTTCTTTCATGCTTCAACAGCTGACTTCTGATTCTGCAAACCCAAAATCCTTGACCTTGAACCTCAGTTGTAGTTGTAGACACTTAAGAGCAAGTGTTGTGGTACCTACAAAAGAAATTCTAGACAAAAAGAAAAATCAGTAACCAAAAATGAAAATAACAAAGCTTGATCTCAATATCTCTACAAATCCTAGTGAACAAAGCTTTCCCCTAATGGCAACGGCGCCAAATTGATACAAGAGTTTTGAGTCTCTTTCTCAATCACCCTTTGTACAAGTCATTGTAGTAAGGGTTTTATGTCAATCCAAAAAAAGAAGATTGAAGCAGTAGGAATGCAATAGGGTTCCTAATTCAAGCAGAAACAGAGATTTTAGTTATCTAACAACCTAAAGAATCAAAGAAACTTGAAGCAAACACTTAACAAGAGCAAGCAACAAGCAAAGATCAAAACTAAGTAAAAACAGAGCAATACTAAGGCAGATTCGAATTCAACCAAAAACAGAGGAAAGACAAGACTTGAGATGAGATAATTGGTACTAGGGAACTATTAACTCAACCTATGATGCTTACAAACTCACACAATGCTATTCTTTATGCATATAATTCATTTATATGAGTAATTCAATCTCTTGGCACAAATCTCTTTGCAAATCATCAAGTCAAGAACTAATTCTCATTAGTGAAATGATAAACAGCAAGCATTAAGACAATCTATCAATCTTATATTGTCAAATCACTCCCTAGACAGTCAATCTCTTGAGCTAGGACAAGCAATTCTCTTGCAAAGCAGATCAGGCATTTCATCAAACACTTGGTGGACATAAAATGAGCCTAAGATCCTAATCAACATAATTGAGGCTAATCAGACATTAAACACAGCAAACAAGAAAGGAAATAGAAGAATTAACACTAAAAAAACACAGATCAAGCCTCAAATTACCTAAACCTAACCCATCTCAAATCCATAAGTCACTACTCACTAATCACCATCGAAACCATCAATCCAAAGAGAAATAGATAACTAATCATGATTAGGAAGATTAAACAAGAAGATAAATACAAACTTATATTGAAATGGAACAAAGATCCAAACTACAAGATCAAAACAAAAACAAAAGAGGAAAGAACTATTGGATAAAGCTTCTTCCCAAAAAGTAGGGATTTTAAGTATTTATAGGAGTCTAGGCGAAATGGCAAAATTATAAATAAGCTGTCTTCGGACTGGGTCAGTATCGGTCACAAGTGACCGATGGGGATGATCGATGCTCTTCTCGCTTGCTTTACATCGGTCAGCTGATAACCAATGCGGATAACCAATGTGAATCTTTGGACACTCGGTTGGATCCCATCGTTCAGTCATGACCGATGCTCTTGACCGATGGAGGTGTCCTGTCTCTTCTCATCGGTCACAAGTGGCCGATGCAGTTGACCGATGGGATTCCAGAAATCGCCTCCCTTAGCTCTTTTTGCTCATTCTCTGCTTGGCTAACTCCTTGAACCATTCCCACACTTCTTTCTTGCTTCCAATAGCTTCTTAAGTACCTAAAAACATCCTTAATGCATAGAAAATGCAAACTACAACCTAAATACAACCTAAGTCTAAAAGGAAAGGAAAATGATACTAAAGAGAAGGAGAACATGCAAAAAGAGACCAAAACATGAACTAAATGCAAGCTTATATGATGCAAATGTATGAGATATCACCTTTCTTTTTTTGGGTTTTGGAGATGAGCAGCTCTTGCCCAACCATTGTTTTTCGATACTAAAGCCCAGCATAACGGGGCTAGCCGGGATCTTCTTCTTTTCTGGTGAAGACGACCTTGTTTTCAGTGGAGATGCCGATAGCAATTGAGTCTGGTCCAGAGTGGAAGCGGCATCTTCAGGGAGGAATCCCTCTCCATCTTGGCTCATATCTGACAGAATATCATCTCCGTCCCCGACGCTGTCTCCCTTTGCTTTTCCAATCGGGTCCAGATCCGTCGCTTCTGCTGCTGCCGGATCCTCTTCTTCCAGCAGAAGGTCTTCCCCCATGAGATCATCATCCCTAGGGAGAGCTTCATCATAGAGGTTGTCGTCATCCTGGTTCTATTCCGACTCCTTATCTTCATCTTCTGCGAACGTGTTGTACAATGTCAGGGCATCAATTTAGTCCTTCTGATGTATCGTGGTTGTTGCGTCGTGACCTGTAAAGTTAGCCTTCACAATCTCTGCTTCAAGTTCTTGTTACGCTGCTGCCAGTTTTGATTCATCAATTGACTGTTGCATTTCTTCCTCCTCCTCTTCCAAGGTAATTTCATACCAACTCTTCTTCTGCTCTTTTGCGTTCTTGTTATCTGTTGGCGAAATGGTGAGATTCTTTTGCTTACTATTCTCTGCAGTAGCAGGATGGTCGAGGGGATTGATAAAGCCTTCGAAAGTGAGGCTCTTCTTAGTTGTACTTCCCGATTCAGAGAATTCGCCTATATCAATGGCTTTTCCTTTCCCAAGGTCTCCAGTTTTGCTTTGCAAGAATAACCTAAAAGGTCGGCTTCGGTTGAGGGGAGGTGACAGGGGATGTTGCTTTAATGAGTTGGATTTTCTGATGATGTCTGAAACCGTTTTCTGAGAATCTGCTTAGTGTTTTTTTCCAGGGATCAGGTCTGTTTCCTCATTTCTGGTGAACCTTCCGGTGTTTTTCTGATGGGGAAGAAGCCTGCGCTCAGGTGTTTGAGATAGAGTCCTGGAAGAGGATTGACCCTATCTCTCAGAGTGGTTTTCACGCTCGCTTCTAGAGACAGATCCAGCTTATTTGCTCATTTGGGGTTTCCGGTTGTATCTTGTGAAGGATTCATCATATCTCCTCTTACGGTCCATCAAATCAGAGTGATGTGGCCTTTCTTCGTGCATACGGTTAGATCCAGGATTGCCGGTATTTCTGCGAGAGTCCTGATTTGGTCGTTCCTTGCGGGTTCCTTGATGAGGATCTCTCTGAGAGTCGATACGGGAGTCGTGACTGAGCTCAAGACGGTTCCAGACAGCCTACCTGAGATGAGAGGCTGCTGGTTTTGGTCTCGGAGGTCTATCTTCGTTGTGGCTTAATGAGGGAGCTCGAAACTGGTTACGGAAGTTGGAGTTATTCTCTCTCTCTTGGCGTCTCAGAGCAGAAGAGGATGGGTTTTGTTCAGGCTGCTGCAGTGGTGGTGAGGGAATCATGGGATCTCCTTCTTTAGCCGCTGCTCTGGCTACCTGATTGTCTCTTCTCTGTTGTTCCGAGAGTTGAGGGCATGATCTTTCCTCATGTGAGATGTGGCCACAGATAAAGCACCATCTGAATAGTTTTTCATAGGTTAGATCTATGTTAACTATATCACCAGTAGGTAGCCTAGCCAGTTTTTTGAATTTCAAAGGAGCATCTGCATTCAGAGAAACTTGGATTTTGCAGCACTGGCCGATACCGCCTTGACTTTGCCAAGAGAGTTTCCTATTTCAGTGAAAATTTCCTCCATCCAAAAGTGGGTGGGAATGCCGGTGACTTTTATCCAGAAGGTCATGGTGTTTGGGAAGGCGGGAAGGCTTCCCCAATATGTGGAGTCCATCGTTCCAACGAGAAAGACCACTTATTAAAGTGGCAACGGCACTTGTTGAGGACCTTCAGGAGGCTTGCTTCAGACTCAACTAGAAACGAGAGTTGCCCAGATCTATGCCATGGACCTGTCCCTCTACATCCCAGATGTTCGTTCTTGGCATGAAGGCTATGAGCGCTTCCATACTTATACAATTGCGGTGAAACATTCTTCCAAGCAAGCTTAAGTTGAACTGAGCAACCAGAGCTGCATTGTTCACTTGGGAAAGATTAATGATATCTTCATCTTCTTGTTGGAACTGTAGGTTGCTTCTGGTGGGAGTTGTCATCGTGGAGATTTCGGCGGAGGCTACAACAAGATATCTTGAGGGTTTGGAGAAAGCTCTGTTGCAAACGTTGAGGAGATTTAGATCTTTGGTATCTTGAACTTTTTAGCACCGGGCTAGATAAAGGCTCAAGTTTAGAACATCCGCTGTGTAAAAGCCATCTCAGTAAGAGAGAATCTCGTAGGTATAGAGCCAAAGTAGGCTTTATTTGATGAAAATGATAAGTTTTTTGGTATCCCATTCAGTCCGATGAATAAAGAGAAATATATGGATGGAAATAGTTTGTCACATGTAGAGAAAAAGTGTTTAAGGAGGGAGAACGTCGGAGAGAATTTCGCAGACAGAGAAGCTGCACCAAATCTTTCCAATTCGGGTAAAGAAAAGTGGGTAAAAACTCTTTGAACCTCCCAAACGCTTGCAAAAGTCAGCATCTAGAGAAACGTGCTAAGCATTTTTTTTGTTTTTGCCTCACAAAACGGATAAAAAATGAGTTAGATTTTATTTTTTGCATCATATTTGTTGGTTGAATAATCGAGCGATTGAAGAAGTGAGAGAAAAGCGAGAGAGAATTAGAGGGAACCAGATCTAAAAGTAAATCGTCAATAATATATCGGTTACATAACTAAAACAAATTATATCCAAAAATCAACATCGTTATAACATTGAATAATATAAATACTGTTCTATTTCAGCATAGGAACTTGATAACATAGTAAAGTCTCGTGGCTACCACGAGAACAACAACCTTATTTCAACTTAAAATATCAAACGAACCATATCATCTTTTCACACAACAACTAATTTCAAATGAAAGTCACGTGTTTCACACTCACAGCATTATTTTATTTAAAACCGAAAAAAGACATTGGCATTATCAATAACCATAGAAGAACTCATGGATCTTTATGATCTGAGTGACTCGATCAAGGATCTTTAGCGGGTCGGGTAGAGATTTGGAGATAGCGGGTCGGGTTAAACATCTACGGGCCCAACCCATTAGCTTGGGAGTGTGATCCTCGAGGCTAAAACCACCTATGGTTTCCCACGAGTGGAACCAAGGGTAATAGGAGATGAGGACCAAGTCGACCATTGAAATGGTGTCGTTTCCTCCGAAGTAAACCTTTTCTCCAAGCTCTGTTTCTAATACTTTCAATGCCTCTATGAACTGTTGTTTCGCTTCTTCTTGTTCTTGACCTCTCTTCGTCCACGTTCTTAAACCAGCGTTAAAAATCTGCATTTAATTTTAGAGAAATTACATCAAAATAATTCCAAAGTATGAAAATTAGTAGAATAACTCCTATAATTTCATAAGATAATTAATTGGTGTTTGCGATCCATGTTTACGATGTACGACCAATATTTACCTTTGAAATTATAGTAATTTTTCAACATTATAATAGAATTATTTGTAATATGCCAAAAAATACGTCATCATTAACGGTATATTTATTTTATTATAGTTCCCTATAATAGAATGGTTTGAAACTTGTTTCTAATTGATGGTAGATTTCCATATCTATTGTGATTTGTGATTGATTTTTGCGAGCGTCGTTGGGATTTGAAATTATGGTAGAATCTTGTGTACGTATAAAACATATAATTCTACCATCATTGTATCTAAACATACAAATTTTCCATAATTGTATGTAAATATACAAATTTACCAACAAGTAAATATACAAGTCTAATATAATTATATGTAAGCATATAAGTGTATCATCAATTTAATAAACGATGCAAGTTTTACCATTGTAAATTTATCACCATAATAATCAATATATCTACCAGAAGTTGTTTTAGTAATCACAAAATATTCAACAACTTTAGTAAACTCAAAAGATTGAATAACTCTACCGTCATTACTATTACATTAAATATTCAATTACTATTAAAAGCCATACCATCACTAAAAAATTAACCTCATATTTTGTATAATTTATAACTATCTTTATTAAATATTAATAATAGACCCATAAATCTACTTCGATAATATTTAAGTACCATCAAACAAAACAAATTTGCCATCATTACAAAACAAACCAACATATTATACACACTAATTCTATCGCCATTAACAATAAATATACTACGACAACATAACTCTACTAACCCGATAATAAATATACAAAAAGTCTAATGTTTGATCTTTAAGTCTACCAACTAAAAATAAATCAATCATCAGTAGGCTTAAATCTACCAATCAAATAATAAATTTATCACTCTAATATATATCTCTACTACACTTTGCAAAAATAAGTGACCAAATAAATCTAGTGTCAACATATTATATCTATAGTCATTCTTATAGACTTAACCAAAAATAAGTCTATGACATTAAAATTAAGTCTACCAATCTTACTATAAGATTGTTTGTCATTAGAACAGCAGACATTTATATTTTGATAGACTTAGTTTTGCTTCCTTAGAACAAAATAGAAACGATAGTTTTATAATTACTTTTTTATCAATAAAAAATAGAATATAATATAATATTGTTAGAATTAGAAAACATAATATAATTAAAAAAATTAAAAAGTATTTGATGGTTTTCTATAAATAATTATGATTCATGAAAATAATCATAATTTTATAAATAAAAAATATTAATTAATTCATCAAATTTTTCTAATTGTACAAATTAATTCTCCAACTTTTAATCTAGCAAATTAATTCATTTAGTTTATGTTGACCTTGCAAAATTAGACCGAGAGAAGTCAACGCTAGCGTTTCTATTTTCTTTATTAACGTTGATTTTTCTTATGCCTAAATTTGCGAAGTTAATGCTAAATTGAGGATTCAATCTGTATACATGATAGTTGAAGAATAAATTTGTCAATTGTAAATACTTTTAGAATTAATGAGCAATTTCTCTCATTCTCCATTGTGACACGTTAGCAAAAACCCTGCTACCTACCCATACACCACACATGAGACATGACCAGCGCCTGACCATCATATTGCACGGTTATCAAGGGCACTGTAACTGTAAGTGTAAAGATCCACCCAACCTTGATAGTTGGTCAACCACTATCAAATAATAAGGGAAAATAGGACAAGTCAACGAGGATGGCTAAACCAATGAAAAAAAAATCACTTTTCTCTATAAAAAAAGGCAAACTCATAGAGAGTATCAAACCCATAGAGAGAATCCATAAGGTTTTCGGTCAAGTGGTTGTCATCACCTCGAGACCAACCCACACCAGAGGTACGAAGCTGATCCAGCTTCCACCAGACCAGAGCCTATGAGATGTATGACGTGGAGATCGTCACCAAAGACTAATCTAATCTTCGATGAGGATCTTCACATTACTCTCAACGGTTTCCCTCATTTTTTTTTTCAAACCGAAGAAAACACTAAAATGAGGAAGTATTTTATTTCAATAGTTCTTCTCATTTTTTTCTCTCAAATAGAATATTCTAAATATAATTTTTTGTTATGTTATCATGAATCCAATAAAACATCATTTAACTTTTAAAATTTTTAAAAAATTTCTATATATTTAATTTATTTTGAAAAAAAAAATATAATTTAAAAAATATATTTAACTATTTTATTTATAAATTTATATTACTAATAAAATAAAAACGTGAAATTTTCATTTAAATTTTAAATATAAATGCTTCACTTTTTGAATATAAAATAATATCATATAAAAGTTTATATATCAATTTGTAAATGAATAAAATTGAACAGTAAAAATGAAGAAGTGAGTAACGTTCTCTCAAATTTAAAGTGATACTGTCCCCTCATTTTTCTCCTCAAAATGAGGTACCATTGAAGAAGATTTTCCCTTTTCCCTCAAGAAAAGAGCTATTGGATATGGTCTAAATCCTACTTCCTAAAGTTTTGTAACAAGTCCCGAACCTCGAGCTTCCAACTTATTTTTAAGGGAGTGTTCCAACTCTACTCTCTTAATGCTATCTAACGTATAAATAATTACTTAAATACACCAAATAGAAGTCACGAGCGATGGACTTGACTTCTAAGTTATCCCATTCAAATATTTTTCTGGTTATACGTTTTCAGTTGAAAGCATTCGATTTAGATGTTGGGGAACGAGACAAAAATCATTTTACCCTCCTAAAAGCTTTTGAGATCTTCATGTTTTAGAGCAAGATCGCCCGTACTGATGGACAACACCTACTATGGTCCCATCTTCTATTACACGATCACATTCCCTCGACATATGCTGAAGTTATTAGAATGAAACCCTAACATTCTGTCCCAGACAAATATAGTAGATACTGAAAGTTAATTTTAATAATTTTCAAATATTTCCATCATTTTAGTCTAAAACAACATTTGAAAATCGTTTTAGTAAATTGTCCTTAATTTTATATATTAACAACAAATAAATTATGGATATTCTCTTCTTTCTTTATGTAGATATTAACGCAGACCATACCATCTTTTATATGAAGTACTAGGTATATAACTCGCGCTATGCACGAGTCTGTATTAATATTTTAGTTTATTTTTTTTAGTTACTATCTTTAAAATTATTAAAAATTATATATATTTATAAAAAAATTCATTTATATAAGAGAATTTAATATATAATATGTAATTTATCCTATTTTTATTTATAAATATTAAAAAACTATTAGGTAAAATAATAACAATGATACCTATCGTATTATCCAACTTTGACGTACTTATACATTTAATTTAGAAAAATATAATCTTGCTAAGATTTTGGTATTATTTTCTGTTTTCCATAGAATTTATATATTTCTTTTTTTCTTGAAGGTTTATGTGTTTAAATATTTAGTTTTTTATTGAAAGTTTTATTGATGTTGTGTACCACTGTATATATAATCCATAATTCATATTGATTCGTATTTAATTTTGTTAGTAAGCTGTAATGATCATGCAAAACTATTTTTCCTTCTCCATCATATCTTCCAAGAGTTTTATGTTATATTTTTATTTAGTTTTCATTGTTTTAAGTGTTAAATCGAGTTGTTATAGATTTTTTTAAATTGATAAATGACAATGGTTACTTTTTTATACATGTATTGTTAATTATTAAATTTTTATTTAACTTTTAAATTTTTAAACCATATTAACATTTTCTGATTTAATAAATATGTTGATTTGGATCAATCAGATTGAATTTACTTTTTCTGTTGGACACAATTTGTTAAATTAATTTTTAATATTTTAATTATGCTTAATAATTTTTTGTTTGATTTAAAAACTGATGTGGACCAATTAAATCAAGTTTTTCCGTCCTAATTATACTTAACATTTTTTTATTTAATGAATATGCTGATGTGGACCAATCAGATCAAATTTTTTAATCTCATGTGGACGCCTTCAATGCACTATGCCATCAATATATATTATACTAGGTATATAACTCGCGCTACGCGCGGGTCTGTATTAATATTTTGGTTTATGTTTTTTAGCTACTATCTTTAAAATTATAAAAAATTATATATATTTATAGAAATTTTTTTTATATAAGAGAATTTAATATATAATATGTAATTTATCCTATTTTTATTTATAAATTTTAAAAAAACAATTAGGTAAAATAATAACAATGACACCTATCGAATTATCCAACTTTGACGTACATATACATTTGATTAAGAGAAATATAATCTTGCTAAGATTTTGGTATTATTTTCTGTTTTCCATAAAATTTCTATAGTTCTTTTTTTCTTGAAGGTTTATGTATTCAAATATTTAGTTTTTTTATTGAAAGTCTTATTGATGTTCTGTACCACTCTATATATAATCTATGATTTATGTTGATTCGCATTTAATTTTGTTAGGAAGCTGTAATGATCATGTAAAACCATTTTTTCGTTCTCCATCATGTCTTCCAAGAGTTTTATGTTATATTCAATTTTCATTGTTTTAATTGTTAAATCGAGTTGTTGTAGATTTTTTTTAATTGATAATTGATAATAGTTACTTTTTTATACATGTAATGTTAACTGTTAATTTTTTTAATTTAACTTTAAAAATTTTAAACCATATTAACTTTTTCTAATTGAATAAATATGTTGATTTAGATCAATCAGATTGAATTTACTTTTTTTTGTTGGACATAATTTGTTAAATTAACTTTTAATGTTTTAATTATACTTTATAATTTTTGGTTTGATTTAAAAGCAGATGTGGACCAATTAAATCAAGTTTTTTCGTCCTAATCATACTTAACATTTTTATTTAATGAATATGCTGATGTGGACCAATCAGATCAAGTTGTTTAATCTCATGTGGACGCCCTCAATGCACTATGCCATCAACTTTTATATATTACTAGGTATATGACTTGCGCGCTACGCGCGAGTCTGTATTAATATTTTGGTTTATGTTTTTTAGCTACTATCTTTAAAATTATTAAAAATTATATATATTTTATAGAAACTTTCATTTGTATAATAGAATTTAATATATAATGTGTAATTTATCATATTGTTATTTATAAATTTTTAAAAAACTATTAGGTAAACTAATAACAATGACACCTATCAAATTATCCAACTTTGATGTACATATACATTTGATTTAGAGAAATATAATCCTGCTAAGATTTTGGTATTATTTTCTGTTTTCCATATAATTTCTATAGTTTTTTTTCTTGAAGGTTTATGTATTCAAATATTTAGTTTTTTTATTGGAAGTCTTATTGATATTGTGTACCATTGTATATATAATTCATGATTCATATTGATTCACATTTAATTTTATTAGAAAGCTGTAATGATCATGCAAAACTATTTTTTCCTTCTCCATCATGTCTTTCAAGAGTTTTATGTTATATTTTTATTCAGTTTTCATTGTTTTAATTGTTAAGTCGAGTTGTTGTAAATTTTTTTAAATTGATAATTGATAATGGTTACTTTCTTTTTATACATGTATTGTTAATTGTTAATTTTCTTATTTAACTTTTAAAATTTTAAACTATATTAACATTTTCTAATTTAGTAAATATGTTAATTTGGATCAATCAGATTGAAGTTTTTTTTTTGTTGGACATAAATTGTTAAATTAACTTTTAATATTTTAATTATACTTAATTATTTTTGGTTTTATTTAAAAGCTGATGTGGACCTATTAAATCAAGTTTTTCCGTCCTAATCATACTTAACATTTTTTATTAAATGAATATGCTGATGTGGATCAATCATATCAAATTTTTTTATCTCATGTGGACGCCTTCAATGCACTATGCCATCAACTTTTATATATTACTAGGCTTTTAACTCGCGCTACGCGCGAGTCTATATTAATAATTTGGTTTAATTTTTTGGCTAATATTTTTTAAATTATCAAAACTATAATATATTTGTACAAATTTTATTTTATATAAAAATAATTAAAACATAATATGTAGTATTTCCTATTTTTGTTTATAAAATTATAAATCTTATTAAGTAAAATCATAGTAATGACACCTAACAAATTATCCAACTTCGATGTGCATATGTTTGATTTAGAAAATGACTTCCTTACTAAATTTTTGGTGTTTTGTTTTGTATCCTTAGGATTTCTATGGTTCTTTTTTTTTAAAAGGTTTATATGTTTAAATATTTAGTTTCTTTACTAAATGTCTCACTAATTATTGTGTATATATACATATATAATATATGATATATATTGATTCAGATTTACTTTTGTTAGTAAATTACACTAATCGTGTAAAACTGCTTTTTGCTTCTCCACCAGATCTTCTACGAATTTTAGGTTATATCTCTTTTCAGTTTATAAGATCTGTTTTATTTGTAGGCAACTATTTGCTAATATTTGTTTTTAAACATGTAAGATGATGCTGAGACTTCACATTATCACTGTTTTTTTTTATCTTTTGTGTGTTTATTCATGTTTTGATTTGAATATTTTATCTTCATATGTTCCCATTTGAATTTGATTTATAACTTTATCATATTATATTATTTAAATAAAATTTAGAGGATGTTCTTCATGTGTTGTTCATGTTGACTAAGTTATAAGCAGTAAATATGTATTCAAATCAGACTTTATTACTTATTATATTTTGAATGTAAAGTTACTTGTGTAGTATTTTACTTTGTTAATTTTTCAACCAGGCGCAACCAAGATATTAATCTTGGTAAATAAAATAATATGTTTGATTTAGAAACTTGTATAACCTATTAAAACTTTATATGGTTATTCATAGTCAACACCGATATTTTAGAAATCATGAATGTTTTTGGAACTATAATTCAAACTAAAATTTCTTCTTAGATCTTGTTTTTTGTTATTTTAAAGATCTTGAATGGTAATTTTATATTTTATTTTAATTATCTAATTTTCTGAAGGTTTGATATACTTAAAAACATATATATATATATATATATATATTTAATTAATCTCTTTTGTTATTGATTTTTCAAATAGGTAGCATATATATTAATTTAATATCTTTTACATAAATGCTTTTTCTTTATTAAATTTACTTTTTAAATTAATCATAATGTTATTTTGACATGCTATAACTGGTTATTCTAAATTTTAAGTGAACTTCTCTCAAAAGCTTATACCATCATTTGCTTTTTTTTGGTTAATATTTGTTTGGTAGTTAGCCTAAATATCAAGCTAATTTTACTTTATATGACTTTTTCTTTTGATAATTTACCTGTCTTGATATTGATTTTTATTTTATTTTAATACACCATTGTTTTAAAAATATTAATATTTTGAAGACATAAATTTTTTGTTAGTTAAATATTTTTATATGAATTTTTTAAGTAGTTAGTCAGATATCAAGTCAATATATTTTTAAGTGCTTTTTAAAAAAATAATATTTTGTAAAACTTAATTTCCGTTTTAGGGTTTTAGTTAATTAATTTCATAATATTGATTTTCTAAATAATTAGCTTAAATATTTGTATTATTTTTGTTAGTTAAGTTTTTAGTATTATTTAAGTTTTATTATTCTCTTACTTATTCTGTTTATATTGATTTTGTTAAATAAATAACATAGATATTAAGTTAGTATCCTCTTTTTTTGTTAATTTAACTTTCTCGATATGAACTTTTATTTTAATTGTATTGACATATTGTAAGAAATAATTTATGTTTTTGTTTTTGTTAGTTAAATATTTTTTATATTGCTTTCTTCAGTTATTAGCATAAAGTATCATTTTTGGTTTGTTAAGACTTTTGTCTTAATTTTTTAAATATTTTCCCCAAAATTATAAGTTTTAGATGACTTTTTTTTTGATAATTTAAGATGAATGTTTTTTTGGTAGTATTGATATTTTTAAATAACAGTTTTATATGTTTATATGAAAATTTAATCTTAATATTTTTTTCTAAATAAATTAGTCATTTAAAATATATATGCTAAAAAAATTTTAATTTAACTTTTTCGTTATTGATTTACATATTTATTTTTGTTAGTTTAGTTTTCGTGACAATGATTTTTCATTTTATTCTCATAATATATTTAGACTTTTGACATAAATTTATTTTATTTAGTTAAAAAATATCTTAATTATTCATTCTATTGTGATAATTTTATATTTTTGTATGTTTTAATTTATTTAAACTATTAATAATATTTTTTATGTTTAATGAAAAACACTGATATAAACTAATCAGATGGAGCATATATGTCATATGTGGATGCTCTCATTGGCCTAAGACATCAACACATACCACAACTAATATATTTTAAGTTAGCAGTTCAGATTTTAATTGTTTGTCTTTAAAATAATTTAATTATGGTTTTAAATACAGTTTTTAATAATTTTGTTCAACATATATGATTTTTCTTTCATAATTTATTTATATGTTAATTTACCTTTTTATTGTTAATAGGAAAATAAAATCTATTTTCAAAACTCTTTTTTATTAATAACTAACTTAAAATTTAGAAATTTTCCTAATAACAACAAAAATAAAATTAATTAAAATTTAAAAAAATTACTTATAACAATTAAATTGAATTAATTAATTTTAATATTTAATATATAATTAACTAAAAATAATGATAATGTATACTAATAAAATTGAATCTTTAAATTCTAAGTGGACACCCTTAGAGGTATTTAGCATCAACTTTTATTAGTAATAGATATGATGATTTAATAGATCATATTCTTGATTTTAACTTTTAAGTATTAGGAAAATTTGCATGTATGAAAAATATATGTTTTTCAATTATTATCAATAAAATCAAAAGGAAGACTTCGCTTAAAATTCATTCTTGTTTTTGTTTTCTTCACATCATTTATTTGCATTTAGAAAATGAATACCCCATCCGATTGGAGAAATAGCATACCAAAGGTCTTTAGATCTAGGTCCAAATCATTAAATTTAAAAATGAAAATATCCAATATGGATCTGTATCTGGTTTCGTATATAATATTTCAATACATATATATATATATATAAACATATTTATACTCCACAATATATAACTGCAAAATTAAATATTTAGTTATATTTATTTAATATTTTATTTTATTTTAAATAATTTGATAATATTATTTTATTGTTTTAGTTTATTTGGGCAGATTGGGTTCATACGGATAATCTGATAGTACAGCATGTCTGATTCATTTCCATTGCTAAATTGGAAAGATTATTTTAGAAATTCAGACACGAGTTACAATTTTTTTTTTCTGGTTCGTTTCAAAAATTTAAATATCTATAGGATCTTGCTTTAGAATAAAATTACATGAATTCAGACTTATATCTGTTAAATATGTGAATCATTATATAAAAATAACGGAAAACCAGTTTTAGGTTTTCTAAAAAACTTTTATGATACAAAATAAAAAATTGCTTAAATTTCTTATATTTTTAGTATTTAATTTTTTAGTGTTTGTAGATTCAGATGTAGATTAACTGGTATTAGATGGACGGATATCATTCATATAGTCATAGCTAGGATCCAAAGATTAAAATTTCAGAATATTCAAATTCATTCCATCCATGTAATACTGTTTTTTGTCCACAGCAATAATATGATGCATGTGTTTGCCCGGGTGTTATCACAATAATATCATTAGCACAAAACTACTATTTTAAGCAATATATATGGCCTTTAACATTAATACTCTGAAAATTAATAGTACCTTTTTGTCAATCATATCAGCCCAAAATCTACACTGTGACTTTTGATAAGGATCCGAAGGTAGTAGACCGAGAGTCTTATCGTCTTTCCAGACCTCGTCGATATACTCGAGTATAACATTAGATTCGCATACAGGTTTACCGTTGTGGATGAGAACTGGAATTTTCTTGTTAATCGGGTTGGTTTGGAGTAATAGATCCGTCTTCTGACCAAACACATCTTCTTCCTTGTACTCGAACTTGACCTCTTTCTCCTCTAACGCCATGATCACTCTTGCTCCGAACATGCTTGGCCAGAAGTTCAACACAACAACTTTCTCTTCTGACATTTTTTGTTTATTTTTCTTTTGGTTCTCAATGACTTTTCTTTTTAGGTTATGAAGTCAGTGGTGCCTCTTGGTGGTTTAACTTATAGAGGGACCATTGACCCAAAAAAATGAAATTTAAATTATAGAGGGACCATTGACCAAAAAATGAAAAAGAAAGTAGACCATAATTTATACCTAACATTAACAAAATATTGACTATACTTTGGGGTAAGAAAATAGACCATTTTATTTTTAATAAATTGTAATCAAGTTATTTAGGTCTAAACGTATCAAGATAAAACTAAGATAGTACCTGTGTATTGTGCAGAGTGAAATAATTATTAAATAAAATTTATACAGTTTTGATTAAATGTTAAATTTTGTTACATAAATTTTTTTAAATTATTTTATTGAATAAATTTTATTTATTTAGATTTGTTGTTAAGTTAACTGCTATATAGTGTTAATCAATTAGTTTTAAATAGAATATTTAGCAATTAGATTAGTATAATAATTTACATAGATTTTTTTTTAAAAAAATTATGGTGTTAACACATCAGTAAAAATGCTTCTCTAATATTTATAATTTAATATATAGTAGATCGATTTGAAATGGACCCCATAATTTTTAGTTACTTCGTTTCCTTTTTGGTTATAAAATTTCTAGTTACTTTAAAAACAGAAAAATCAATGATCTTAATTAATATATAGGCTAAAAGAAATTAATAGGCTGAATAAAATATTCAACGTGGATATGTAATTTGTACTATACAGACTAAAATACCTCATTTTCCTCGTCCATACCTATCTTGTTATTCAATTATAACATATAATGTCCATACCTATATGTATGACATTATAATATAAACAAAAAGATTACGATAATCAAACAAAATCAATAGACGTGGATAAGTAATTTGTATTTTGTTTGACTATCGCGATCGTTTTAATTATATTAGAATAACATACAGATAAGTATGGACATATATGTTATATTTGAATAACATGTCGTGGAAGTCGGAACAAGAAAATTAAATTAAATAATAATAAAAGTTAAGAAATATCATGGAACAATTTTTTAAGAGTGAAAATATGAAATTATGTTAAGTGTATTCTTTGTTCAAAAATGCGCTCGCCAGAATAGAAGAGTTTGACGGTTTACAATCGTTTTGATTTCAACCTAATAAAAATTTGGAATTGCTGAAAAAATCATTTCCGTATTCGTTTTCATTTAAACAACAACATATTTTTATAAATTTATAAGTTTTTGATGAAAATTTGACAAAACTCAAAAAAAGAAAAGAGAATGATGAAAAGAAATGGACTGGAGACGAGTTTTCTGTTATTTTTTAGATTGAAGAAACTAAAAAACTCATGTTGCCCTTTATTAAAAGCAAAACTAAGAAATGGCCATTAATACAAAACTCTGGATCAAACTCATGAGTTTTAAGAATATTAAATCAGCTTAAACCACTGCACCAAGCCCATTTTTAACATATACGCTTTATATATACTTTACTAGGAGAAGGTTCTGCATGTTATGCAGATTTGTAATATATTAACTATTTTAATTTTATAATATTTTATTATATTAATTAGTAAAAGTTTGTTCGTAAATATTAATTTATAAGTTGTAAATAATATTTAAAATTTTGTATTAAAAAATTAATTAAATTATAATATAAGGTTTGATCCTGTTAGAGAAGTGGAACTGTCATTAAAAATGATTAAAAAAAAAACTCTTGAAAGTATATTTTATACTGAAAAAAGTAGTGAGTCATTAATGTAAACAGATTTCATAAAAGCAAATAGTGCATGATTTTTTATTTGATTGACCACAAAGAAAACTCTCCAAAGTTTTTTCGGACAGAAAGGATGACATAGTAAGTTCTTAAAAGTTTTTTAAACAAACTAAAATAATATGATATAGAAAACATAACAAAAGAGAATCTAGTGGAGAAGAAAAAAATAAGACCGAAACCTTGTGTATGTATCTGTTTGGTGAAAGTGAAGACAAAAGAGCTAGGAAAAAAATGAAAAAAGGTGATAGTTGACATTACTATATTATATAAGATTTGTACTTTGTTGGGTAGTTTGATTTTTGTATATATTTGTTGGATGAAAGAAAATTATTGAAGAAGGAAAAAAAACGAAGCTTTTGTTTTTGTGTTAGTTCGATAAAAGAAAATCTAGTAGAAATAGAGAAAAAAAAGTGATGCATATCAATTTTTAAGATGACACGTGACAGTATATCCGAGTTGTTTATGAAAACTATTTTATAGTTAAAAAAAATGGCATATGTCATTTTCTTAGATGCCACATAACAGCATATCATAACTACGAGCAAAGAGCTGAAATGCCATTTTGGCAGAAAAATTGATCTGGACTGTCATCCCATGATCTAATGCCACTCTCTCATTTAAATGAGATGTGAAATTACAAATCAATCCTTAGTCAAAGTTACTGAAATTAACCAAGTAAAAATAAATTAGTAAAAGTAAAAGAAGTAAAAAAAGTAAAAGTAAATAAAAATAATTTTGAAAAAAAAAAAGAAAATTGAATCTCGATCCTCCTCCTCCCCCGCAGCGTTGCTGAGCTCGAGCTCCTCCTCTCTCTTCTCACCCGGGCTCTCTTTTGGTTTCCAAGCTCCTTCCCTGAGCTTCTTCTTCCGTCATCCTTTTCGTCCAACGTAGATCGACGCTTTCTCCACTTCGTCCGCCCCAGAATTCCAGTCATCTTTCTGCCATTGTTGAAGATCTCATATTTTGAAGGTGATTTCTTTTATTTCAATTAGAGTGTAAAATTAGGGCTTTAGATTTGAAAAATTAGGGATCTGGGTTGGTAACAATGTATTGTGGATAGATTAAGCCATAGGTTCGGTAATTTGTGAGAAGAACGTGGTTATGTTAATCAGATTCATAATGAAGAACAACGAAAGTCGAGCTCGAAATTCCCAGATTTTTGATAGGAAAAAATGGTACAACTGGTACAACTGGTACAACTGAGAGCGAACTGGAACAACTGAAAACTTAAGTTCAACTGGTACAAATGAGAGCTATAGTTCAACTGGTACAATTGAGTTCAATTTAGTTCAATTGAGTTCAACTAGTACAAATGAGAGGTGTTGTTGAACTGGTACAACTGAGTTCACTTTAGTTCAACTGATTTCAACTAGTATAACGGGTACATGAGGTATAGCTGCACTGGTACAACTGAGTTAAATTGGGTTCAACTGGTACACGTGGTACAAATGAGAGGTGTAGTTTAACTGGTACAACTGAGTTCAATGTAGTTCAATTGAGTTCAACTGGTATAACTGTGGTACTTTTTGTTCAATTGAGTTCAATTGAGTTCAACTGATCGACTATTTTCATTATATTTTCAGGAGAGCATGAGCACCAACCACACAAACATATATTTTGACTATGGAGGAATTTATTCACGTGACGGGGGGGAGTTGAAATGGTTTACAAGTAATTCCACCTATGTTATACCATTTAGGAACTTATCTGTGGAAGAGATAACTTACTCGGTGTTAGTAGATAAGATATGCAGTAAGATTGGGATAGATAGAGCTAATGCACACCTGAAATTGAGTTACATTCCGTTGGTAAATAAACCGATCAACGAGACAAAAATTTTCGTTGATGATGACGTATATGCTTATCTAACAACGGTGGATAACGAGGGGCTAAGATCTGTTTTGCATGTGGAGGTAGTCAAAGGTTTAGAAACAAATTCAGTTTCTAAAGCGGGTAGGAGTGAGCAAGCTTCCAAAGTGGGTAGTTCATTTGGTGTGAATTATGAGGAGCCGGTTGCAAATGGTAGAGCTGATGATGATGTCTGTAATGCGGTTACTATTTATAGAGCAGTCTCGGAAAGAGAAGAACGTAGGGAGCCGATTATTGAGGAGGTGACAGAGAACGATGGTAATGAATTTACTAATGGGGATATGGAGAACGGTTTCGATGGTATGCATGAATATGTTGAGCTTCCAGGTTCTGCAGAAGTTAGTCAGTGTGTTGAAGAATGGGAAGATGGTACAGGTCTTGAAATTGGTCAAGAATTTTGTTCTAAGGAGGTAGTGCAAGATTTGGTTGACAGAGCTACACATAAGAACTGTTTTGGGGTCCATACTTATAAGTCAGATACAAGGTGACTTATTCTAGAATGCCGTCAGAAGAATCAAGGCTGTAAATGGTATTTACGAGCTGCAAGGTTTAAGAAATCGGATTATTTCAGTGTTAGAGTATACAGAAAGATGCATACATGCTCTCGGGCCGTTGAGAGTACAAGCACTAGTAGAAGGAGAGGCACCCCACGACTAGTAGCATCTGTTTTGCAGCAAGACTATCCGGGTCAATTTGACACCCCAGTTCCCAAAAATATCGTGAATCTGGTTCAGAGTAGAGCTGGTGTTAGTTTGTCCTACTCTACCGCCTTAAGAGGAAAAAAACTAGCTGTTAGTGATGTGCGGGGCACTCCTGAAGAAGGTTATAGGATGTTATACTCTTATTTGTACATGCTGGAGAAGGTAAATCCTGGAACCGTAACAAGTGTGGAATTGGATGCAGAGAAAAAGTTAAAGTACCTATTCATTGCTTTGGGCGCTAGCATTGAAGGGTTTCAAGCAATGAGGAAAGTGATAGTTGTGGATGCAACATTTCTGAAGACTGTATATGGTGGACAGCTTGTCTTTGCCACAGCTCAGGATCCTAACCATCACCATTACCCCATTGCTTTTGGTGTAATTGATACTGAGAAGCATGACAGCTGGATGTGGTTTTTTGAGAAGCTGAAAATCGTTATACCTGATGATCCTGAATTGGTTTTTATGAGTGACAGACATAAAAGCATCATAAATGCAGTAGCGAAGGTGTATCCCCACTCCCAGCATGGACATTGTATATGGCATTTGTCTCAAAACGTGAGAGGTAAAGTTCAGCATAAGGTGAACAAAGATTTAGTGGCGGCAAAATTTATCCAATGCGCTCATATTTATACTGTGAGTGAGTTCGAAA